GTATCGACAGAGGCCACAGTAGCAAACACCAGGACTGCCCTCTATACGACAGGACGAATGGCCCCCTAATATAAAGACAGACGTTTTGGGGGAAACCCCTGCCCTCTCACGACAACGGCAAACTCCAGATGGCTTCAGCAGGTCCAAGCCTGACCCACAAAAACGGGTTTTCATCCCAGCCTCAAACTAGACACCCCTTCCCCACCTCTGTGGGTGCAGCTGATATCAGGTGGGATGTCCCTGCTGCTGACTGTGCCCAGAAACTGAGCCCTTACGGCCTGCTAACATAGCAGAAACTAAGACTAATCCTCTCGGGAGTTGAGCGTTACCATCAGGCCTCTGTAGAATGATTTATGAATTCTTCCAAATGGCTACGGAGCTGCCCATTATATTCCATAGCACCCTCAATCACATGGCTAAACTTCTGTTCCAAACGTAACTTAAGCACAAAAATAAAACGCGTCCCTCAGAGATGACTGCAGGAGAGGTGACCGTACTGACACCAAACAGAAAGCTACATGGCTTTGGACAAACTCTGCCACTCTCGGAGGAGCATTCAAATGACATTCTGTGTCCAGCCAGTATGAAACGGCTATTAGGCAACACCACGAGACAAGGAATTCCCAGCAGGGGATGAGGAAAAGGACATCATCTCACTGTGTTTTAATGGCTTGGACCTCGGATGAAGGGCATTTTCTTATATCACCATCAAAACAAAAACAAAGGTATAGAAATCAGGCAGAAGGAGGATGGCAGGGACTTTGAAGTAAGCAAGCAGAGAGGAAGATGAAATTGGATTTTCTATTCATAAATACACAGGTTGAAACTCTCTACTCCGGCAGCCTCAGGACCTGGCCGGTGCCAAACCAGTGAATTTGCCAGACCACAGGAGGTCAATGTGATCTAGCAGCATTACCAACACTTCTACAAGACATTTGGGGTAAATTAGAGTTAAATAACAGCACAGAACACTTAGCGCCAGGACAGGTGGCTATAAACAAACTTTATGGGACCACAGGGAACTTGGCCGCACCCAGGATAAGTGGACGTCCAGCTAACTGAAATCATGCTGGACCACGGATGCCAGACCAGACAGTTCCAGACACGAGAGGTTCAACCTGTACCAGCATTGACATGCCATGGCTGAGTCAATGCTAGCATCTTCCTTCTAATTTCCCACTGCTGCACTAGCACCGGTACAATGTCTCCAGTTCAAAGGAAGAAAAATTGGACATCTGGAAATTAGAAAGGCCAACTTAGCTGGATATGTCCTTATAGGAGCAGCTTTTACACATGAATTCACTAGCAGCCCATATTCTGGATGCCCTTTCATTTGGACTCACTTCTCTCGTTCCCCTGACCATTGTAATGGAGAGTTTTGGTTTTCAAAGGCCAGTCCCAGTTTATCCCCATTTAGGTGGCACCCAGTGGCATGTCTGTCATGGCAGAAAAGGAATCTGTGAGCCCTTGTAAGAGGAGTGTTTTATGTGGAAGTGAGCAAAAGGAATGGAGATTTCAGCCTGAGCGCAGAGACGACTTTTCTTTGGCATCGCAGGCTCCGCACTGAGGCCTGTTAACTTACTCTCAAACCTCAAAGGTGCTGGCTGATTTAAGATTGTTTTAGTCAAGTCTGGATTGGATGTTGGAAAACTCAAGGCAATTCTGCCTTTCCAGGATGTTTGTTTTAGGTTTCAGCCACCATGTGTAAATTAGCAGAAACTGGAAAGAAACGAAGAAATATTTCAACAGAGGCTTCTCTCTGGCTAATCACCCTCCAACCTCCCAGAATGAGGTATCAAATTCTGCCAGATTTCCACTCAAAACCATAAATTTCTCTCCAGAATTAGAAACGCCACCAAAGTTCACTTGAAGTCTCTCCAAATTCACATATTTTACATTGCTCCATTGAGCGCTCTCTCTTTCTCTCGCCTCTCCCAGCCCCTAGCTGAAGAGATTCAAGGATATTTAACAAGCTAAAATAATTAGCAAGTCTGTCTGCCTCATTGAAACGAAAGAAAATGTTCTTACAGCAATTGTCCCCACTGGTGGTGTCAGTCCTGCAATATGTTAAACTATACGACTGATGCTCGCTTTAGTACTTGGGTGCATCCGTGCAGAACGCAGCAACATACTATTATTTAATCAGAGCAGGCTTCTTTCAACGACAGATACAACCAACCACCTGTTTTCCAAGCCTCCGCGTCCGTCCTTTCCTAGAATGACCTGAACAAATCAGCCCACGTAAAACCAGCTCAGCACAAAAAGTTTCTAAAACATTGTCAAGAAGGCCAAGCTTTGTGAAACCACAAAGCAACCCTGTTTCAGTCACAGACAGTGCACAGCTGGGAACAGGCCCTGACAGAACCGTCCCATTCCCGAAGAGAGAGCATCCCATGATTTCACGTTGCACAAGGAAGTTCTCTGCGGAATGAGATAATAACATGTTGCCTGACAGAGAAAACGAGAGAGAGAGACCAGATGGCCTCTCCCGGCCAACGGCCTTTCATTCCCTTGGCAATCTGGCTGATATGTAAGATACCACTGCTGCCTCCCGGTAGCCAGAAGGGGCTTTCCAATGGAAGGCACCCTCGATGAAGGAAGAAAAGACGTACTGTAATTAAGAGCATACGTGAAGCCAAGCGGTTAAGCTGCAATCCCTCATGGAGCAGGGGAATGTTTTGTATTTGCTCTCCTCGTTACAATTCTTGTCATAAAGGAAACAAAAGTCCCAGGCTTGTTCCCATCTAGTCTGCCACGCTGTGTTTAAGCTAAACCTGATTACCTCTGACTCCTTCGCAGGAAGGGAGGGGGTTGGTTCTCCGGAGGACTCACATCTTATTTTGCACCCCAAAAATACGAAAAGAAGAAGAATGCTGCCGGGGAGGGAGGGGCGTGATCTCAGGGGCACAGAACTGCCGTCCCTGCTGGGGCCAAAAGTGACAACTCTATTGTTCCATGTGCAATCACACACCACCCCGAAATATGTCCCCTCTCTCCTATACGTTCCACAGTAGTACTGCTGGTGTGCACATCTCCCTCACACCCGCCATCCGGCCTGCCCAAACTCTATTATTCCTACTTTCCCCCCTCCTATGTACACCATGTACACTATTATTACCTTGCAAACCATCCTGAGACTAGGGATGTAAGTGACAAGTCCCTCGACTAGTTTCTTCCCCTCCCACGTGCTGCCTCTACTAAAGGCAGCAAATGGAGGGGAGCAGGAGCCAGTGCTGGAGGGAGCCAGCTTAAAAGCTGGTTCCCCCCAGCACTGTCTCCATGGGCAGGGGCAGAGGAGGCAGGGGGTAGAGGGGACTGGGTGCGAGCCAGGAATCAGCTGATTCCCGGCTCGACATCCTGTAGGCTTTTAATCCATTTAAAAATCAGAAGCGCAGTGGGGGGGGACCCAGTACAAACTGGGACAGCTGATACCCAGCTCGCGCCGGGTCCCTCCTGCTGCGCACCAGCCTTTTAAATGTATGAAGGGCATGCTGGCTCTTAATACAGTTAAGGCAGATCTGCTGCGGGGTTAGCTCCCCTGCTTATCGACTAATCGACTAGTCAATGGAAAATCCCTCTACCAGTCAATTAGTTGATTAAACTAAATTTCACACCCCTACTTGAGACACAATCTCGGTGGAAGGCCCTATTTTAAATACAGCTGGGTGGTACAGAAGAAGGAGGATAAGGATTCTGAACAGCAGAAGGGTCTCATTACTACAGACACTTAGGGTACAGCTAGACTGCAGAGCTTTTCCGGGATACCTCTGGTATGCCACATCCAAAGAATGTGTCCACTTTTTTGGAACATTTTTCAAAAAGGCGGACATGCTCTTTCACCATCCCTGTTAACCCTGTTTTACGAGGAAGAAGGGATGTGTCGAAAGAGTGGGTTTTTCCGAAATTCGGCACCGTGTAGACGTGCCAAATTTCGGAAAAGCCTCTTTCGACAGAAAAGCGGGAAAAAGATACACAAATTGCGGTTCGCAATTTGCATATCTTTTTCCGACTTACCTTTGTATCCTAGACGTAGCCTTACAAGCACCCACCCGAACAGCTGACTCCTACTCTACAAATCACAGGGCAGTCTGGTGGGTTCTGTAAAACCGCTAGGCATGACTCTGCTATAAAGCTGTCAAGGCCTGGTGGGGTTGTGCTATAGCCGACTCCAGCAGAGAAAAGCTTAAGAGCAGGCCAGAGGGAGCCTGTATAAACTGCTTCCAATCAGAGAGAGGCTTATAGGGAGCCAATCAAAGGGCGGCTTGCTGGAGCAGTCCTGTTTATAAGGAGCGGCTCAGGAGAGCAGAGGACAGTTGGGTCCTGATCAGGGAGGACTGGCTCCCTGGGAGAGGCACCTGGGATGGAGCAGAGCTGGGCAGGTTCAGGGAAGCTAGAGAGAAGCCCCAGCCTGATACCGCCCAGGCTGTGGCCTTGATACAAGGTGCAAGAGTCACGGGGAGGTGACTCCAGGGAACACAAGCAGTCAAGGGAAGAGAAGGGGGGCAGGAGGCGGCTGCTGCCACAGAGTCCCTGGGTCGGGACCCAGAGAAGTGGATGAGCCTGGGCCCCCCCTTTCTCCTTGCACTGCACCAGTCACACTGTACAGACTACGGCTTGCCCCTGAGGGAAGGGGCAAGACTTTGGGGCTGAAGTTGACCACTCAGGCAGGTGGAAGGACTGAGGACTGCTGATACCCCCTGGGAAGAGGGCAAGAAAGGAGCAGTGGGCACTGCCAGAGGACAACGCAGGCCAGGGAGCGGTGTGGATCTGGCTACAGACACTGGAGTAGAGACAGGTGGGACACCACCCAGAAGGGGGCGCAATCCAACCAACTGAACTAATTCCCAATGTGACCAGCAGGTGGCGCCGGGGCAGGGAGTAGACCCTGTTACACCGGGCTCTGTGCTATCTCAGGCAATTTTGTATCACATGCAGCTGGAGGAGCCCAGGGAATTCATCAAGGCCCCCACGGTGGGCCCACCTCAACATCCCATTCCTACCTTCACACGCCTTCCCGTCTCCCTTCAGCCGCCGCCCTTCGGGGCACTTGCAGTAGAAGCTGCCGATAGTATTGCAGCACTGGGACTCGCACCCCCCGTTCCCAGCTTCGCATTCGTTGACATCTGAAAGAGACAAGACATGGGGGGGGAAACGTGAGATTTCAGTGGGGCGCCAAACTGCAGGGATGATTAACGCAAGATAAAGGGAGTCTCTTTTCCATCCGCTTCTCTTTTTTTATTTTTAATTCAATCAATCTAATGCCAATAGGGAAAAATAAAGGGAAACTACAAAATAATTCCCGAGTGCATACGAAGGGACACATTTTAAAGATTAAAAATGTCGCTACCAAACAGGCCCTCACCCCACTGAATGTGCAGTACATGTGTTTGCATGCGCAGAGATATTTATTTACACTCACAAATATCCTGTTTCTCACTCATAGGTGCATGAAAAAAAACAGATTGGTGGCATCAGGCGCACCATTGTATTTTTCAGAAGTTATCTATGAGGTAAGGTTGGAGAGTTTTATCCAAAGAACCTCATACACTATTTAAAAAAAAAAAAAAAAAAAAAAAAAGGACCAGACATTTGCATGGGTAAGAAGAGCCGCAGGATAAAAATCACAAAGATTCATCATCCTTGTATTTCAGGATCTAAGTTGGTCAGCAGTTGAAAGACAAGAAACTTCTTGTTGCGTCATCAAATTGCACTGCAGTTAGCGGCAGGTTTAAGGATTTCACTGCAACACTCAGAGAGAGCCACAAACACACAGATCATCAGTCTTGTCCTAGGAAAGCAGTTTATTGCCATAGTAAGAGGCGAGAAAGTGCTATTGTGGGGTAATTTAGACGTGCAGCTCTGACATACCCCAAACTGCCGTGCGTTAAAACCCGGGTGCACTGGGAAGTAACAGAAAACATCAAAACTGCAAGAGCCGCATCATTCCTTCCTGCCCAAATCCCCTTATCAAAGAGATCCTCGTTGCCAGAGCTGCTCAAAACGACAGATTTGCAGAAGGGCAGAAGGACAGGGAGCTTGGTTCATGCAGCACTAAGGAAGAAGATGATACAGCAAAGTAATTGCTTAGCAGGAGCGGGCTACTTCTTAGCCAAACATGCTAAACACCCACTGCCCTCTCCTGGAGAACATGGAATAGTTTGTATTTTCTGAATTTTTATTTCAGCTCCTGCCTTTCCTCCCATGCTTCTTACTATTATGCATGTGAACCAGGTAAACATCACCGGTTAACTGGAACCCAGGACAGCCCCCTTTTCCATGGCCTAGGAACTGGTCGCTCCGTTCATGGGGGGCCCAGGAGCAGGAGCCGCCCTTCCACCCTGTGCTTGGGGCTGCTGGCTCAGGGACGGCAGTAGCAGGCGACAGCCCCAAGTGGGAGAAGGACCGGAAGCGGCAGCTCCAAGAGAGGGCGGAGAAGGGGGCCGGGAGCAGGATCCCAGTAATCGGTTCACGAGGATTTTACATCCTGGGTTACGATCCATCTAAGGTCGCAGGTTTCTACTGGTGACATCATCAAGTAGATTGTTCCAGCGGCACAGATCAATCCCGGAGTAACAACGACCCTTTCTGCATCCCGGTGCCCAACAGGGCAACAAGGACTCTTGGAAGGGCTCTCGTTTTTCATGCCCCACCCTCTGTTGATCTGATGCAGAGTCGGTGCTAGGCAGGAACAGGCTAATCCAGAGCAGAAACAGGGCCCCTCATTCACTTTTATCATGTGCCGGGGGAAATATTCCTGCATAGGGCCCCAGGACACTAGCACCACTCTGAGCTGATGCCAACTTCTCTGTTTCCCCAGTGCACTCATGACCAGCGGCTCTCCAGCCCTGCAACAGGCTCGCCCCTCTCCTAAAGTTCTAGTTCAAACAGATCGGTTCAGGGACATCCCGAGACACACGTGCAGGGCGGAGGGCAGGGCGTCAAACCAGGCAACAACCCCGGCCCTTTGTGAGCTACGAATCTATGAACAGTCCCACAGAGCAACAGATACAGGGTAGTATGTCCGCTGAGTCTTCCACATGGGAGCGATCACAGCAGGTCGTCACCTGGCTGACCCCATGGGAGTCTCCCAATAGTCTAATGAGCCCATTTGAAAGCTCCTGCCCAACCCATCACAGATTGTGATGAACAAGGGGATGAGACGGAAACAGGAGAAAACCATCTTCAAATGGTATAGAGCAGGATCCTTCAAAACCACACACAACAGAGAGAGAAGAGCGGAAATCTTTCTTGACCCTGACAGCTCAAGCGATAACATGGATCCATCTCTCACCAACCACCAAGGCCACGACTTAACTAGGAAACTATTTCGAAATTACTAAGTTCAACGTAATGACTCCTGATTTAACAGATTCAAACTCGCGTGTCCTCACTACAAGGAAGCATCAAAATGAGTCCAGGCAAGCTCCATTAATGTGGACACACTACATCAACTGACAGCCCCAGGAAGCACTGGGGAGTAACATGTTTGAATTATTCGAGGGAGTAGTTATTTCAAAAGAGAGGTGCCGAAGCGTCCACACTGCTGTTATTTTGAAATAGCTGTTTCGGAAGGAGCATTATTCCTGATGAAAAGCAGGAGTGCAGATTTCAAATTAAGCAACCCATTATTTTGAAATAACAGCCTGGGTAGTGTGGATGCTCCGCTTATAAATTTGACCTAAGGGGGATTATTTCCAAATAAAAAAGTAGTGTAGACCAGGGCTAAGAGTCCAGAAGTTAGAGAAAGACTGATCATCCCCAACGAAAAGTTAACTCTGCACGTTTTGCTCGCTTTATCAAAGAAAACAAGCAAAAAGCCCCTCTCAGCTTCTCCATCGAAAACCCCATTTCTGTTTTTATACTCGGCACCAATTTTCAGACTTTTAATTCCTGATCCGTTCTGGATGCCAGCAAGTTTCACGAGCCATGGGTTTACTAAGCCTCAGCAGAATGGATCTCTTTCCCACTGCATTTGGCTTCGTTGTTTCTTGCTGGGCATCGGTAGGGAATCACCTTCACTGTGAAAAGCTGGCAGCAGCTGCTCATTTCAGCAAATACTCCCAGAGACAAGAGACACATCGAAAGAGAGAGAAAGAGAAACTTTCTGCGACCAAATTTCATTACTTACCCAACAGAAAGGGTTCAATTTCCAGGTCAGCTTTAAAAAGCAAAACTTTCACTCTCTGTTGAAGAACAGCAGAGCCATTTTGATACATTTGCACCCAGAATTCCATAAAAATAAACCAGAAAGACATTGATATGTGGCCTAACCTGCAACCATAGTTGCTGACGCCATGGGAAAAAATAACGGGTGCTGAACACCTGCAGGTGGCCCTGCAGATCAGCTCCTCCTCCCCTCCTTGGCACCTCCCACCTGCCATAATTAGTGGTTCAGCGGCTGTGGGGATGGGGCAGAGAAAGGGGAGAGCATGCTGCGGGAGGGGTTTGAACAGGGTGGGAAGAGGCACCACGGGGGGAGGGGGGAAGTAGGAAGGCGGGGAAGAAGAGGTGGGGCAGGGCCTAAGCTGAAGGAGGGGTTGGTGCCTGCGACTAGTGTCCCTGAAAAGAATACATTAAAATCCATATTACTCTTGTGTGATGAACACCAGAGAAGTACCACCACAATGGGAACAAGTGCTACAGCGTACATATGTTCCACCCCTCTTTGTACCTGGGCAACTTACAGTCACACTTTGGCATGAAGAGCAGCTGTGTGAACACAGGACATGCCCCAAATGAACCTTCTGACAGCAGTGCTAAGATGCACCTCACACACCAGCCACCTATGTATGTTAGCAATGTGTGTGTGTGTGTCTGTCTGTCTGTCCACCTATGAGTCCATTTCTTCAAGAACTCCTAACCAGTAAGAGCTAGGGCCACCAAATTTCTGAAGCTTCCTCTTATTATAACTTGAAGCAAGGACAGGGTTTGGTTGTGCCAGGACAATGGGCTGCCTGGAATTCGATTGTTTCTCATAAAATGGGAAGGGAGGGAGTCTAAAATGCCATTTAATTGGTTAACCAGTTAAACATATTGTTTAACTGCCCCCCTCACCTGCCACTGCTCTGGAGGAGCCCTGCCTGAGAGGGTCTGCTGTGGGACTGGAGTAGCCCCCTTCCCATGGCAAGCAGGGAGCTACTCCAGCCCCCACCGGTTAATCGTTAACTGATTAAACATTCACATCCCTAACGTGCATAGAGGCAGGAAGATATTCTCTATCCCTTTCTTAATTCCTACCATTCTGTTTGCTTTTTGGACTGCCGCTGCACACTGAGTGGCTGTTTTCAGAGAACTACCCACCATGACTCCAAGGTCTCTCTCAGGAGTGGGTAACAGTTAATTTAGTTACCATCATTTTATACTTATAGTTGGGATTAGGCTTCCCAATGTGCATTACTTTGCATTTATCAGCATTAAAATTCATCTGCCATTCTGTTGCCCAGTCAACTAGTTTTGTGAGATCTCTTTGAAGTTCTTCAGTCTGCCAGAAAATGCTGATTCACTGAAACTGAAACTTGTTTCAAGTTTCTGCATTTTCACAAACCACTAGGGCTATTAGCTATGCTGGGGCAGAATTCACTCTCTCCCCTCTGTTGTGTTTTTTATTTGTTTAGAGATGAAAAATAAAAAGATGGTTCTGGTTCTGTCTCAATGCAGAAAGGAACTTTTTTTTTTAATTCTGAAAAGCCAAACCCATTGAACTCAATAGAAAGATAACCCTCTGACTTCAACAGGCATTAGTTGAGATCCTTAATAAGTATTTCACTGTTTTTTCAGTACATAAAATGATTGTGTGATTACCAATTGAGAGAAGAGAAAAGCACCATTCTTTTTTGGTTCCTCTGTTATCTAAAGACAAGATGACACTGTTCTTTAACAGTAGTTAGGCCAATGGCACAGAAGGAATAACTTAGAATGGCCCTGATGAGGACAGAAAATAAGGTCAGCTTTCAGAATCAGAAATCGATTTAGGAACAACAGCCCCAAATCCGCTGAAGTTTACACATCCCTTTCCCCTAAACTTGATGTACTGTCCTCTCCATAATCCATCTGGAAGTCATTAACTGGCTATACGTCCCATCCTCTTAGGCTACATCTTCCCTTACCGGAGGATCAGTACTCT